CCAAGGGCATCCTGGACGGCGTTCTGCCTATTTTCATAGGCTTTAAATGCAATTCCAAACCACCTCCTGAAATCGCCCCCCCGCCCCCGCGGCTCTGCACAACAGCCACAGAGCATGAACTTCCAGTCTCTTTCCAGAGGTTAGTTGGAGCCATTCTGTATGAAGAAATTGACTTCCCTTGTGAATTTCAAGATGGACAGGGCTGCAAGCTCTGGCTGTGGTTTTGTGCATAGCACAGCTATGATTCTGGTTCTCCCCTCATGATGTTAGACTAAATTATCTCCCCAATCCAGTTGTTTCCCATTTAGCTGAGGGAGTCACAGCTATCACAGGATCTGAGGACTCAAGGGACCGTTTAGACCAGCCCTCCAACAAAAAGTCATTTCTTTGCCCTATCTAAAAACATCTCCCCAGGCAAAGCTCGCAGGACCTCCCTTAGAAACGCATTCTTCCATCTAACCCCAGTTTTTCTAAGTCCTTCGCGAAGGAATTAAAAAGAATTATTTTTATCCTAAGTTGAAAGAAAGACCTTCCAAAGGTTATGCCACTTACTTTGATGTAGGGGTGTTTTGCACAGGTTGTGCCCCACACATGGGAACAACGCTCCTCTTTTCTGTGTTCGTAGAATTCAGGGTCTCGTAAGATAGCCACCTTCCGTCCTCCGTGTGTCAGGACAAACTCGCTGCACCCTTCCAGCCGTGTCTTATCGTCCACGGAGACGGGCAGCACGACAGGGATGCTCATGTTAATCACTCCGTCTGTGGAAAGAGCCATTTGATGCATGAATGTGGGATACAAGGTGCGGGCTCCTTTAAAGAGGACTCAAGCGTGCACAATGTCTCTTCCAGACATTTCCTGCAAAAGGCATTAAGACCTAACTAACATGGTTATGTTGGCTGCACTAGTTTCTCTAGTGTCTGTGATAAATCCTTTGAGAAGAGGCTTCTCAAAGCAAAAGATGGAGCGTTTGTGAAAAATGGGCTGTTTCAAATTGTAGGGGTGGCTTCAGTAAGTGATTTGGAGGACCATGCCCGAGGGGGTGGCTCCCTTCTGAGTTCTTTTTAAAATTTGGTCCTGAGCTCAACACACTAGGAAGCTTAAAGTCTTTAAAAATCCAACTAGATAAAATAAAGGTTGGCAATGCCCTGCATATCTGCGAATTCCACACCGGCAAATTCAACCGCCTTGTGGACAGCAAACCTTATACAGGATCCACCTTTGATTGAATCGAGGTTGCAGAGGTTGGACTGTGGGGCTCGAGTGTCCACAGATTTCGGTATCTGCATTGGGTCCTGGAACCAACCCACCTCAGATTGGGAGGGATGACTGATTTCTTAGTGAAGCCAGATAATGTAAAAGAAATCACACAGCTGTTTCTCCCCTTTTGTAATGGTGCCCTAACATTCTAGCAAATATGTCAGGCTTTCAGTTGTACTTACAGTGAGAAAATGGGGGCACAGAATTAAGTGTATAACATTAAAGAATATCAGGGAGATTTGGGGGGAGTTCCCAAGTTCAAGACTCAGAAGGGAATGAAAGGAAAGTGAGTAAAAACAACATTCAATTTGTTACCCAATTTAAGCTCGTACTGCTTGCCGCTCCACTGGCCAATAAATGGAGAAATGCGTTGTTGGGAGAAAGAATAGCAACTTTATTTGGAAAGCCAGCAGACCGGGAAGATGGTAGATTTGTGTCCCAAAGAACCACCTTCCCTGAATTCAGGCTTCTTTTATACTAAAAGGGGAGGGGATAAAGTCAAACATTTTCTGGTTCCCGCCAGACTCTGAGGGGATGTTAATTTCTTCCTCCCTGCCGTCATTCACAGGTGGGCTTAGTCAGGATGTTTTCTGTGAGCTAAAGGTCTTTTAGCTTAAACTTCATCACATGAGAGGCAGGGTTCCCAGAGATGGGCCATTATGTATAATTTAAGTTTATAGGCAACATCCCTTTAGGGATTAACTTGTAAAAGCAATAGAATAAAAAGGTTAAAGTAAAAGAAACAGATCCAATGTGGAGTGAAATTTGTTCTTCCTTATTACAAACTCAGGATTTCCAAAAGAGGAAGCAAATGCTCTTATTTATGGATTGGAGGAAATGTACCATAGATTAATGAAGTCTTTTAAATCTAACTTTCAAAATCCAGCATTTAGACCACTTCTGATAGAGTTAAAGATCTGAGATCTGAGTTCTATTTCTTTGGGGCATAAAACTCCCCCATTAGCTATGAAACAAAAGTCTACAGGCATATCACTTTGCACATTTAAAATACTCTCCAAAAGCTACTAGGACATAAAGAATGTCACAGGATATATACAGCAACTTCCAGCAATAAAGAAATCCCACCCATCATAGAATCCTGCAACCTGCTCTGGGAGCCTCATAAACAACAAGGAAGATACTGTACACAGAAAGTACTAGTTTCCTCACTCAAGTAACTCCTTTGTTTCAAAGTTCACAGACAGTAACAGTAGTCCAAGCAAGCCCTGTGCAGAGAGCACTAAACTCAAAGCCAAGCGATCTCCTATTTACTACCTGTGTCACTCACCTTCTCTGTCCTCAGTTTCTCCACTTGGAAAATGGGATCATAAATAATATGTATATCCCTGGGTTGCTGGGAAGAGGCTTTCTGTGGATAGCATGACCACACTGCTTACAAAGAGTGCCTTGACCAAAATAAAGTAAAACAAGATGCAAAGGTGGGTTGGGTGCTGGCGGAAACCCAGCTCTGCCTGCAACGTGCTTGCGGTGCTGCCTTCCATCAATTACTCTGGGTTGAAATCCAAAGAATACTCCACTTGCTCGTTGCCATCGCCTCCTTTGGTCCGCTAGGTTCCAGCCCAGCGTAGCCTCTGATCCACCTTCATCTTGGCCTTGAGTGAAAATCCCAACTAAGGAAACAGCACTACCTGACAGGTTGTCAAGAGACTGATCTGTGGGATGTTGTGGAAGGGAGCTCTACCGAGTAACAGTGCCAACTGATCTCATACACCTGTAGCTACAACTCCACACAGGTAAAAGTAGATTTACTGGGGTTTCCCTATCATCTTAATCAACTTTTCGAATACATAAAATTATCCTACAATTTAACTCTGTGCTGAAATAGCCTCCATAGCTTTAAACATTGACTCGGGCTTTCGGCCTTTTTCCATCATGTGCTTCAGCTCTGGCGGGAACCACCCTGATTATTTTACTGCAGTATAACTCATTTTGGAAAAGAGTATCGTAGTTTTTTAGCCACAGTTAGTCCAACACTTAACTTCATGTTTTTGCTTTAAATAATTTTCAAGCCTGTTGTTTTAACCTTCTAGATATGCTTATCATTTGTTTGGGACTATTTCTGGGCAAAAACAAATACTTTATATTGCTTAATTCGTCTTTTTCAAGGAAAACGCAATGATGAAAACAATACTCAAGATAAATGATATCTCCAGAATTTTACCTTTTTCTTCCGGTACAGTGCAGAAGTTTAGAATTGCAGCGAGTACGTGTTTATTCCCAGTTTTATAACTATCGTCATAGCTTGAAATTAAATTCATGCATAATTACTCATCACAAAGTACAATCATCCACAATCCAACCAGGTGCATCCACTTTAAATTGTATCTAAAATTGATTTATCCTTCATCAATTAAAAATGTGTTATAAATGCAATAGAAAAAAATTTCCAGATTTTTGAAACGAAATGGGGACCAACACTCAGTAGAAGTAATTAACAGAGAGGATCATAAATTTTTAAAATCTCAGGAACAAAATGTGCAACAGAAATTCAGAAACAAGTTTAATTTGTCAGCCAAATAAAACATTATAAACAACAGCTGCATCTGATCCAGAAATTTCCTGTTACTTGGACTCCTATCAACAGAAGAATGCAGCATTATTCTGTTATAACTGGTTGGATCATGAACTGTTAGCAATTCCAACTGGTTCATTTAGATTTTTTTTTTCTAGTTATGTCCTTACCATTTCTAGTTAATAAAACATATCTAATTATAATAATTTAACTACTTATAAAGTTAAAGTACATACCAGGAAGGAACATGCCTAGAGAAATACAAACAAAATTAAGAAACATACTTTCCACCAAAATAATAGTAAAGCAACAATGACAAGGAACAAACTCCTACTATGAAGCTTCATACATACAACATACAAAGATACTGAGCTTTTTGTTACTGTTATTTCTAAAAACGGAGCATATGTGACAGCAAAAAGCTGGTGAAACCAGAATTTGTATTGAATAATGTCCAATACAATCCAAAAGCATTTTTAAATAATTATGTTTTTTTTTATTTATTTATTTTTTTGCCGTACACGGGCCTCTCACTGTTGTGGCCTCTCCCATTGCGGAGCACAGGCTCCGGACGCACAGGCTCAGCGGCCATGGCTCACGGGCCCAGCCGCTCCGCGGCATGTGGGATCTTCCTGGATCGGGGCATGAACCCGTGTCCGCTGCATCGGCAGGTGGACTCTCAACCACTGCGCCACCAGGGAAGCCCAATAATTATGTTTTTAAATAATTATAACATATGTCAATAGCCCCTCCAACTTAAGCAAGAAGTTGTCTCTTACAAATATGTGATGTTATAACTACTGTCAGGTGATTCCAAACCAGGCTTTGGGAGGTATACAGGCAAACTGCTTTAGAACGTCCTAGAATTCCAGATATTTACAGGACATGAGAGTATGCCCAGTCCCAGGATAACCTGGATTTGAATCCAGGCTTTGAGGGAGTTATTTAACCTTCCCAATACTTATTTCCTCATATGGACAAAATACCTTCACAGTGGTGTTATCTGAATTAAATTAAATTAAATGTGATGTCCTATGTCAAGCACCAGAGTCAGAACACATTATGTGCTGAATAAATGTTGGCAGTATATATATATAGAAAAGCTCTCAAGCCCTGAAGACTTGCCATTAAATGATCAGGTCTCACAAGGCTGCTATATCTTAACCCTACTTGAGGTTCCATTTTTAAATTTAGATGTGACATTTATCATTGGAGGATCTATGACAGCCCCCCCCCAAACTATATATCCAGTGAGAAATAAAATAATAATAATACAATGACATGAAAATAGATCCTTGAGTAATATAGGGAGTAACTCATACTATATAATCATCAAAAACACTAAAAAATGATTTTTTTATTTTGCTTTTGGACTGAGTAGACTGAGTTAATTTTTTTTTTTTTTTTTTACTATAGGGGGAAATTGTGAACCTTTGAGAAAATTAAAACCAACAAAATACTTTTGGGAGACAGGGTCAGAATAGACACAATTTTACCTGCAGATTGTAGGTGATCAAGAAATGTGCAGTTGTTTAATGGTAGATGAAAATGGCCACATGTTTATGGCTACAAAAATTATTTCAAATTTTCAATGGTGGTGACTCAAACTTTCATAAATTGGTTAAAATTAAATGATATCCATACAAATGATACCTTGCCCAACCTTCTGATACAGAGATACATCATTTTTGGAATTTAACCGTGTCTACTCAGTCCAAAAGCCATAGAGCCAAGCTCTGTCATGAGACTGTCATGGTGTGGTAGAGGGCAGTGTTTCAACCAGCTTTCCCTAGACACCCTCAAGGCTGCTGTCCAGGTGGGAGAAAGACTGAGCCCACTTCTTCCAAAGGAGCAGTTCCATTTTTATCTGTTGTATATATTGCCTCAGATTTCACTGAAACAGTTATGACTTGAAAAAAAAAAAAGTTTGACAACCACTGATGTGGCGGGAAAACCCCTCTGGACTAGAGCTCAGAAGATGAACTGCACTGCCTGTCCCAGCAAGCTCGTATTTGTCTTCATTATCTATCTCCAGCAGCTAGAGCAAACCCTGACATCTGAGGACACTCAGTAAATACTTATTGGCTATTAGCTGATGAACATCTTCTCTGTGCTACTTCCAAACGGATGTGACTAGAGATAAGCTACTTGGTCTGTTCAAGACTCCGAAGTCCTTTTAATTTTATGCAGTGAGGGGGTTGTTAATATATGGAACATTTACTATTGGACCAGGTACTGTATTCTTTTAAACATTCAACATCCCATTGAGGTAGGTACTATTATTAACATCCCTATTTTACAGATGAGGAAACTGAGGCCCAGAGAGTTTAAGTAATGTGCCCTGAACCCAGACAGTTTGGCTCCACAGCTCACTCTTATCCACTATGATATTCTGCCTCTACTTAGGTAGAGGTGGGCAGCATATTACATCCCTGGTATGTATTTTTATTAATTGACTTACATAGGAATTAAGGAGGCTTCTGGAGGGTATGGGGAGTATTGAAACCTAACTACACCTGAGGTTGCTTTACGCCCCATTCCCCAGGCAGAGGCACAAACCTAGAACATGAACATCTTTCTCAGGAAAGAACATCTGATTTGATTTTTCTTCCTAGAAGGTTTGGAGCCCTGCTCAGTATTACAAATTCCCTCCCCCACTTATCAGCTATTCCCCAAGATCTTGAAATAAATAAGTTCTATTTGATAAGGTCAAGACAGTTCTAGGAAGGAAATGATCAGAGAAGGATCCGGAAGTTTTCTGAATGAGACATCCTTCCAACCTTGACAGGAGCAGTTCTCTAAAAGCCATTCAGCTTCTGCCCAGAGAGATGCCTTAACACCCCGTATTAAAGTTTAGTGGATGAAGCCATCCTAATATATTTCATGTATGGGCATGAATATCAACCCTTTATTATCCACCAGGGAAAACAGCTGCTGCAATAATGTTTGCTGGAGGACGGGAGACATCCTGCAAGTCAGCAATGAGTGCTGAGTCCATCCTGGCTTCCCCAGGATGGTCCAAGCAGCTGCTAATGGTGCTTCTGACTGTCCACTGCCTTATGAATATCACAGCCAGCAAAGGGCAGGTGGAGGTGAAAAAGACTTAACCTTCTTTTGGCTTTGTGTGCAAGTCAAACCTTTATTTTTTGGTTCCTTAGCTTTAAATAATCAATAATCCTTTGAGGATAACCAAAAAAAATCCTAAAAATGGAAGCTTATACATAACTGGACACACCACAAATAATCTAAATATTTTCACAATAGGATTTACAAACCAAGGATTAGCATTTCTTGTTCCTGTGAAAACTTCTGAGAAATATTTTTTTCTTTAATAATAAAGAGTAACAAACAAACAAACAAACGAAAAAACAAAAACCCATACCGTCTAGCAGGGTGCCAAAGTGTATAACCTGCAAGTACTCCTTTTCCCGCATAAAACCTTTGAGGGGAGTGGCCCAGCCTTCACTCAAAACTTGGACCCACTGAAGATCCAGCTGCAAAACACAAAAAAGCAGGTGAACATTTCCATAAGCTCCGTTTTCCAGCCATCTGGCCCCAGGGCAGTCCTTTCTTATTCAGTTGACAGGAGAATGAAGGCAGAACCTTTTATGATTTAAGCGTTCCCATATGTAACGCTGACCCATGATCTAGGGGCTGGAGAAGTTTGAGTCTAGAACTTTCTGTGGGAGAGTGGTGAAAAGATTTCAAACTGGGATGATTTCTTTGAACACTTTAGGCTCTATCTATCCTTACAATGTGCAACTGTGTTGAAGGTTCACTGTTCATCCTTTTTTCCACAAAAATTCTGGTTTGGCTACATGTTTTTCACCAAATGTGCTAGTTATTTGACTGAACTGAGCAAACCACTGACACTAAGATAAATGTCTAGGGACTTCCCTGGTGGCACAGAGGTTAAGATCCGCCTGCGGATACAGGGGACGCGGGTTCACACCCTGGTCCAGGAAGATCCCACATGCTGCGGAGCAACAAAGCCCATGTGCCACAACTACTGAGCCTGCGCTCTAGAGCCCGCGAGCCACAACTACTGAGCCCGCATGCCACAACTACTGAAGCCTGCGCGCCTAGAGCCCATGCTCCGCAACGAGAAGCCACCGCAATGAGAAGCTCGTGCACCCCAACGAAGAGTAGCCCCTGCTCACCATAACTAGAGAAAACCCACGTGCAGCAACAAAGACCAAATGCAGCCAAAAATAAACAATAAATAAATAAATTTTTTTTAAAAAAGACAAAGGTCTAAAATTCTTAGTGTGATACTGACAGGCCTTCGAGCTCTGGCCCCAGGGGCTCATGTAGGGATGTCCACCTGCCACCACTCCCCACCTGGGGGCCTAGTCACCAACAGTGCCAGACAGTGTGCAGTCTGAACACACACGTGGTTCAAGCCCATCCTCCCCTCTACCTGAAAACCCTGTTCGTCATTTAAAACTCAGCTCAAAAAATAAAAATAAAAAAATGACCCCCCCCTAAAATAAATAAATAGATAAAAATAAAAATAAAACCCAGCTCATGGGCCACTGCTCTGAAATCTTTCTTGTCACCCCTAGGACCAAAAGAATTAATCATTAGATTCTTTGAAGTTCTTTTGTACCTTGCAGACCATTTTGTTATTGGAACTATTAATCCGCACTGTAATTATAATTATGTGTTTCTCACCCGCCTGGAGCATTGGAAAACTCAGAATTTATTGTGTTTATAAATTCGTCATGACTTACTAAAGCCTGGGGTCTTCATGAGCTGAAGCACATTCCCAATGTACTCTGCCTCTTAAAAAAATGTCCAGGGCTTCCCTGGTGGCACAGTGGTTGAGAGTCCACCTGCCAATGCAGGGAACACGGGTTCGTGCCCCGGTCTGGGAAGATCCCACATGCCGCGGAGCAGCTGGGCCCATGAGCTATGGCCGCTGAGCCTGTGCGTCCGGAGCCTGTGCTCCGCAATGGGAGAGACCACAGCAGTGAGAGGCCCGCGTACCGCAAAAAAAAAAAAATGTCCAAGGTTTTAATGGATACCAAAAGGTTACCAGTGAAGACTTGATCACCTTATATGAACCAACTAACACTAACCAGTAAACAGGCCAAGGTATCTGCAGGGCTGTTTGCTGGGATTGCATCTTAACATCTTCTAGGTTGCAAAATCAATGCAACCAAAGCTCCCTGTCCTCAGACTGGACTCTCCCTGATGAGGGAAGAGTGGGATGTGCAGAGGAGAAAAAAGATCAAGGCATTCATGTCACTTTAGATCAGGGCTGCTTCTTGTTTTCTTCAAATTCCTTCTCAGTGGTCCAAGAAACACCTGTATTCTGGACAAACGATTTTCTCAGCAACTGCCAACAAATAATTACTGCCTAATGCTTGAGCGCTGGCATAACTGAAGGTATAATGACAACCAAATAAAACTGTACTCTGCAAATATAGAAGTTACGTTCCCAGTCTGCTCTGTACATGGCATTTATCAGCTGCCTTGTGGCAACACTTGATGAGAGATTTTCTTGAAGAAGAGGTAAAAAAAAGATTGGCAAAATGAAGTGTTTTTCTTTACAGGCATTGCATTTTCCTTATGCCTACCTTCCTTATTAATTAAGAGTAATTGTAAATGGATTATAATGACTGACATTAAGCCTAAGTCTCCATTAGCCAGTGGGCACCATCTTACCTTGGTAATTGATAACGAAGGGAGCACTTCGGCCTCAGCTCGGACTTGGTCGAGTTTGTTTTCTGGCACAAAGAGTTCGTGGATGCCTTTGATTATAGTGTGGGGTACAATGTTCTGAAATGAAGTAGACTTGGTAACAGTTTGGAATGAAAACTATAAAAAGAACACTTCAGTAAACAGATGATCTTTTATGACTGTATAAAACTATTAAAAAAAAAAAAAAAGACGTTCAGTCGGCCCACCTGCTCCTGTAGGAGTTCCACCACCTGCTGCACACAGTCGCTCACTGAGGACAAGTTGGTTTTAAGCACAAGCTCAGGAGTTTCAGGTTTCTCATAATCGGAATCAATACCCGTAAACCCTGCAAGGCAGAAGGCTGAAAATCACATCTGCACCAACAGAACAAACTTTTTACTCAATAAGACATAACACATGTTGCAATAATGTTTTCAACTGCTGTATTCAGATTAAAACAGAAAAGGTCAAACAGCTATCCTTGCCCTCTAGCCATAGATAAAAACACATACAGCTGTGGTTTCAATACAGAAAGCCCCGATTATCAACAAAATCTGTCTGAGTCCAAGCCCTCTGCAGCTGATTAGAATGGAAAAGGAAAACAAGTAGGAGGAAAACTGAAAGATTCCTCCTACACACACACACATACACATATCCATTTTAGTTCTCTAAACTTGATTGCTTGTGGCTGGGGTGATAGTTCTTGAAAACTACAAGCCCACGTTTTAACTAGCCCAGGGACATTTTGAAGATATTACAGTTTGATAAAAAGTTGTGTGCACTATATGCAATTTTGGAAAACGGTTTTTGAAACTTCAGACAGATTTCTGGGCACAGACTAATAAGAATTGGAGGCATAAGTAAGTGGCAAAGATACCGCTGAACTGGCTCTCCTACCTTTGATCTCCCCAGCTCGGGCCCGTTTGTAGAGACCTTTTACATCTCTGCTTTCACAAATGTTTAGAGGCGCATCTACAAATATCTCAAAGAATGGCAGTCCTGCAGATTCATGGATTTTGCGGGCATTCTCACGATCCTGGAAAATAATTACCTTTAAGAATGTAAGAAGGGCTTCCCTGGTGGCGCAGTAGTTGAGAGTCCGCCTGCCGATTCAGGGGACGCGGGTTCGTGCCCCGGTCTGGGAAGATGCCAAATGCCGCGGAGCAGCTGGGCCCGTGAGCCATGGCCGCTGAGCCTGCGCGCCCGGAGCCTGTGCTCCGCAACAGGAAAGGCCACAACAGTGAGAGGCCCGCGTACCGCAAAACAAAAAAAGAATGTAAGAAGAGGTACTTCCCTGGTGGCGCAGTGGTTAAGAATCCGCCTGTCAATGCAGGGGACACAGGTTCGAGCCCTGGTCCAGGAAGACTCCACATGCCGCAGGGCAACTAAGCCCGTGCGCCACAACTACTGAGCCTGCACCCTAGAGTCCACTAGCCACAACTACTGAGCCCACGTGCCACAACTACTGAAGCCCGCGTGCCTAGAGCCAGTGCTCCCAACAAGAGAAGCCACTGCAATGAGAAGCCCGTGCACCACAACAAAGAGCAGCCTCTGCTCACCGCAACTAGAGAAAACCCACGTGCAGTAACGAAGACCCAATGCAGCCAAAAATAAATAAAAAAAAAAAAACTTGGCAAAAAGAAGAATGTAAGAAGAGGTTTCATAGTGAAATTCTTCATCACAAAATACTGTGTGCTCTGGTTTTCCATGACATTAAGATAACACTGGGGTTTGAGCTCTTCAGAGGTGTCAGGAAACTAGCCCTTTAGAGAAACTCCAGAAATTTCACTCGAGTAAACAACTCTCCCAAGTACTTTCCAAAAAAAAAAAAAAGCAAACAAACAAACAAAAAAAAAAAATGGGAAAGAATCCCAACTAAAAGACAGGGCTGGCAATATGAGAGCATTTCATTCAAAGGATGTGTCCAACGTACATACATAGTGTCTTATATGTAATTCACAGCAATTTCCTGTTTTAAAACAAGAGGAGTAACACTCCACCTCGTTGACTTCAACGTTAAACATTGGGGATGAACTGCTGTTTTCTTTAGTAAGCTAAGCCCTCTACCTTTTTGAAGAAATACTGGCTTGGCCAAAAAGTTCGTTCGGGCTTTTTGGTTAAACCCCAAAGGAACTTTTTGGCCAACCCAATAAAATTACCGAGCTTTGGAAGTTTTCTTGTTTAACTTTCTCTTCCTTTCAACTCTGGCCAAGTGTACCTTACCGTTGTGAAAGTGGAACGGTTTATGTCACCTGGTGCCCTGGCATCTGGAAATGAAGGGACTCTCTTTATATAACCAATATTAAAGAGAGGAAATGAGGGAGCAAGTGGGAGAGGGAGAGCCAGTGGGGGAGACTGGAAGTATGACATTCCTCTGTCCTCCCCTCCGCTGGCTCCTCATCCTGGCAGCTTGAGAGCACTGGCGCTATGCGTGGCAACTGTGTGCGTTGCCAAAGCATTTTACCTTTGCAAAAGGAGAAATGAAGCTGGTAATGCAGACCAGACCAGCATCGGCAAACAGCCTGGCCACCTCAGCGATCCGGCGGATGTTTTCTTCTCTGTCCCAAGGAGAGAATCCAAGGTTTTTGTTGAGGCCATGACGGACGTTGTCCCCATCGAGGGAGTAGCAAGGGATGGCGTGGGAGACGAGATTCTCCTCCAGAGCAAAACTGATCGTTGTTTTTCCAGCACCAGAGAGACCTGTTCATAATGGGCGAGACAGGGCAGGCACTGTCTCTGACTGTTCAAGATTATAAATTGTGCTCTGATCTGAACTGTGAACTGATCCTAATTTTTACCTAATTCAAGCATAATTAAACCCTCAGTACAATCACTGGATTGACCTCAAATCAAAACCATTCAAATCTAGAAAAAGCAAAGTTTACTACAAGTCAAGTACTAGCATTTCTTTCAAATCTTGAAAAAACTATTTGTCCCTTGTTAGGATTACAGCCTTTCAAAGCGAAAGGGGTTTGTCAATAGGGAGAACTTGGCAGGCTACGTATGGTCCTTGGTGTGTTCTGCTTATGGGATGGGCTGGGACCTGGGACCCTTTACCAGAGTGCTTGCACCTGGACAAACATCTCCTGGAGCAACAGAATACAAAGAAACTATAAGGGACTAAAAATACCTGCGCGCGGTCACAGTTGGGGCAAATTATAAACAGTAAGATACAGAAAGGTCGGAAACCAGCTGCCATTTCTGAGGTGCAGGGAGCAAAAGCAGGGTACTGCGCATGATTCCTGCACACGGCACCACCAAGAGGGTCAGCAGACCACCTAAGCCACCGCTCCAGCCTGACCACCCATCTACCCCTACTCGCATCCCATTTAAGGAACCGGTTCGCCCCACCTCAGGAGTGAGCAAGGGCAATTGTTTCTTGTTTTCGCTCCCTCATGCTGCAGCAGGGACCTCAATAAAGCCTTGCCTGAATTCCTTGTCTGGCCTCTTACCAATTTCTATTGATTAAGGAGTCCAAGGAGCTGAGTTGGTAACACTTTGCCCGCAGTGTATTTTATAGACTAGAAAGTTGTGCACACAAGTTCAGATTATGGCTTCTCTTGAAAAAAAAATCAGAGGCTCTGGCAGTGGTGTCCTCATATCCCCTTATGAGAGCAATCAGCTGGAGTGGAGGGACAGCCAGCCGTTGGAGACTGAGAGGCCCACCTCCCTTGTAGATGCTGCTAAGAACCCATCTGACAAGAGAACCAACATACTGTCCTTTTGTTTTCAAGATTTTCCAAAATGATTCTCAAAACACAAAGACAGAGAATCACCCTGAGCTACACTGTAGATGTAGAGTTGCCATATACTCTTAGCTGTTTGGAGTCTTTACATGAGAGTGGAGTTACAAGGTGCCTTTTACCATGGTTTCAAAGCACAGTGACTGGGAACACACACTATAATTTCTACATGAAGGAGAATGTAAGGAGAAAGGGAACGAAATGCTACCCGCCAAAATTACTTAAGAGTTCAAAATCTGAACCACCCTGGAAAAGGAGCCCTCTAAAAATTCAGTTGTTCTGAAGATCTCTGAACCTGAAGAAAAATGCAGTGATGCCAAGCCACTGTCAGACAGCACCCGGAAGAGGAAAAGTCAGGACGGGGGCAGAAAAGAAAGTCAAGAAATTGTTAATACAGAGAAGACAGCAGGGGGAAAGAGGAAAAAGAAAAAGTAAGAGTAAAGAAGGGATGCAGGACAGAGAGACTTGGAAAGAAAGGTGATATATGAAAGGTAAACAAGTATTTTCCATATTTTAGTTATGTTTTAAAGTCATGCCCTTGGCTTTGACAGAGGATCATGGATAGAAATTAATGTGATAAATTCCTCTTAAAAGTTATGTCCACTTGTGGGGTAGGAGAAATGGGACTCCTGAATCTCTGGTACATTCTCTTGCATCAGAAAATGAGAGAAACAATAGAAATTTCTAACAGTTAGCTGTATTAAAATAGATCATTGGAATATTTATTTTAATACATTGAAGTAACACCTATTACATTTACTGAGAGTTTTACTAGGGACCAGGACTTGTGCTAAGTGCATATATGCTTTATTTCATTTTGTTCTACCTATTACCTCTATGAGGCAGGTGTTATCTTTATTCTCATTTTACAAATAAGGGAACTGAGGCTTAAAGAGGTTGGTTGGCTTGTCCAAAATCACACAGCTAATGTAGGTGAAGCCGGTACCCAACTCCAACTCTCTAGATTTCAAGTATTTGGTTTCTCCTGATTTGCCTGGTCAATATCCAATATCTGTAATATGAGGATAAAAAAATAAACTAGGAAAAGATGACTTTTTGAGAGTAAGAAAAGACAGGAAATATACCCTTGAGATTTTTTTTTTTTCTCTTCTACCTGTTATTTTTGTCTTTCCAAGGGTGTTTTACATTAAGAAAAATGGACTTGGGCTTCCCTGGTGGCGCAGTGGTTGAGAGTGTGCCTGCCGATGCAGGGCACACGGGTTCGTGCCCCGGTCCGGGAAGATCCCACATGCCGCGGAGCGGCTGGGCCCGTGAGCCGTGGCCGCTGAGCCTGCGCGTCCGGAGCCTGTGCTCCGCAACGGGAAACGCCACAACAGTGAGAGGCCCGCATACCGCAAAAAAAAAAGAAAGAAAAATGGACTCTGTGGGTATGTCCTGATTCAAAATTTGGACAAACACATGAAGGCAAAACATCTCCCGAAGGCAAACACATAGCAAGAGGGAAACGTCTGGAGCATGCTGTTTTATTCACTGCTGCACGTCACGTCTCTCAGAGGGAGCGGGGGAAACATATCAGGAATTGCGGCAGGTGAATCTGCCTTCTAGAACACAGCAGCCTCCTTGCGCTCTGCCCAGCCTCACCCTGGAAGCAGGGAAAGTTGTTCTTCCAGGGATGAATGAAACCCGGAAACCAAGGGCAAGTGCCACAGGCACTAGGAAATAACTTGAAAGAGAAGAATGAGGCTGCTTTAGACAGGACTAGGGAAGATTCAGAATAGCAAGAAAAGACGCAAGGCAGGTCCTCGCTTGTTGTGTTGTTTAGAACTATCTTCAGGTTAGAATAAATCAGCATTTGTGAGCAAACAGTAACACATGAGTTGATTTCATAACCTGGATAGACATATCTTTGCATCTGAGTTCATCTCCATATGAAATATTATGTCTACGAAATGAACCTGTTTTTTTCTTTTGAGTCCAGCCTATGTCGGACCTGCATTTCCAGGAATCAACTTCCCCTACCTCGTACTCAGAGTATAAGGTAACAGTCAAGGACTAATTCCAGTTCTGTCACTAACCCTTAGCTTTGACATTCTGGGGCTATATAAACACAAGAAAAGGGAGATTCATTTGGTCACCTCGGTGGGAATGCGTTCTTTTTTTATACACAATGGACAATACTCAGCTACACAGAAAACATTAGTTTTGCTTCTTGCACAGATTTTAATTTTTTTAAATAAGTAAAATAGCCCCCTAGAATATTAAAACATCAGAAAAGAATAAAGAATATCTCTAATGGACAGCCAAATGTTTGATGTCAAATTAGGAGAGCCCCGTTCATAACTGCCCGTAAATGTGTTTAGGCATGAAATTAAGAACTACAGAATTCCTTAGAGCTGAATGGGAATGTCATAATCAACTTGTCCCATCCTTTCCTGCCAAAGAGGTGAAAACAGAGAACTAGAGACATTCCATGACTTGATGGAAGTCCTATTTCTCACTGATGCGTAGAGTTAGGACTAACACCCAAGCTTTCTATCACAGCTCTCAGCCTCCTTCTAATGTTGAAATACACATATAATATGTAGTGACACTATCTTCCTAAAAATTGTGTGTCACCATCAGTTTTCCATTAAAAAATATATAGATCTCAACACAGCATACCTGTCAGCCACACGGTACATCCTCGGAATCCACCCCTTGTTCCAACCACCTGCCCTCTCTTATTCCTGCTCACATGATGCGCCTGATACACAACATTGGTGGATTTCTGCTGGGTCTCCTACAAAACAAGAGCAAGCACAATATTCAATTAATAAAGTAAGAAATCTCATGTGTATACATATAATAAAATAATAAAATAACAGATTACATAAATAGTCTTCCCGAACAGAAACTCCTTTTTTTATAATTGGCACGCAGAGTAACATTAATTAACTCTACTAATTTAGAAACAGACACTGCCTCTAGCATACCCATCACTGCCCTTTGAAAGTATAATTTGAATGAGGCAATTATTGATGCAATGTAAAAGTTCTGGTTCCATGACATATTAAAATGTGTACCTTTAGGTAATGGTTTAGGGGAATGTCTTTGTTTCAGTAAATGCATGTTCTTCCCAAGTCCCACGGGCATGAACTGAAAATAGCCCAAATACTCCAGCCGCTGAGGAAATAATAGGGTGAGGCTGGTTGAGCTCCTCTCTAGAGAGCTGGGAGAGGCTCCAACCACAGAACGAAGAGTTAGAGGCCATTATACCCCTCCTGTTCCCACCCAGACATAGACGTCAGCAACTTGAGAGTTTATCCCCGAAATAGGACTCCTTTTTCACAAGTACTAAAATCTGCTTCCACTTTCCCAAGGGTCAGTGTATGAACTTTTTAATCTTTCATAAAGGCCTGAAGAAATGGAAATGTACCAGTTATTAGTCTTGGAGGTTAACTCAAATCTCGAATGTATTTATTTTGGCTGTAATAAAATCAGCCCCATGAGGGCACAGATTATCTGAGCCTGACCCTAAACTCTGACTGGAAGGTACATGTCTGATGAATAAAAAAAGGTAAAATGAGTCAATAAATACAGTTTGTGGTGGACATTTAAAAAAATAACATGTGAAGATGTGATCCAAAGGGGAAGGGGGTGGGTCGGGGAAACCATAATGATAGTTAAATAAAAATAAAAAGGTTAAGAACTGCCCATGTGTGTCTTTGGTATGGTAATTAAATTTTTATTGACAGATGTAATCCAAGTTGCTGAACTGTAAAAATCTATGAAGCCTTTTAAACACTGTACATGTATACCCACCAGAGCTAAAAAAAAAAAAAAAAAGCTCCAATATTCTTTGAGCAAGACCCAGACAGTCTTAGAAAACTCTGGGTCACATGAGGGCAACTCTTACATTCTGGAGCAAATTAAATCACCTCTTTATGCCTTTCCTTTGGGGAAAAAAAAAATCAAGGGGAATACAAATAGGACTGTCTGGAGGCTTATATAGATAATGGATGGGAACATGATCTGTAAATGGCCAAGTTCCCTACGAATGTGGATGCTGACAATGATTATTCAGTGTACAGCTGCAGCAGGAGAGCCATCTGGATTAGTACCAGGAAATCCACTTTAAGACCAAGGAGGAAGGAGCCCCCTCCTGGCCCTTGTGGGCTCAGAAAGGCAGTGCACACCCATGGGGTGGGCCTGCTAGTGAGGCACAGAGCCCAACTAAGGGGCCAGCTGGCAGAGAACAGCATTATCAGTGTCAGCAGGAACCAAGAGGTAGGTGTTGAAAGCTGGGATCAGCTGGGTTAAGTTACCTAAAACTCTCCAAGGCTAGACGCTCAGATCATCCATCAAACAAACCTGGTCAGAACCCAAGACTTGGAAGGGGTCGGGACAGTAGACAGCAGGGGTGGCTTGCACGAGAGGATTCATAAAGGGGGACAAATGAGGCTAGTCCATGAGATATTCTAGCCATGTTTTCCCTGAGTGAATAAATCCCTTGAAGGTATCCTGGGTCTTTTGTGCCAAGTACACTTTATGGCTCAAGGAAAACATTAAAATTTTCTTTCTCTCCATTTCCTTGTTAATCACTGCCATTAAATTCAAGAACACTGTGTGTGGATATCAGGCCCACAAGTCAGTTCATCCATTCATTCATTGATTCTTTCAGTAAATGTTTATGTAAATGAGCTCCTACTAAGTGCCAGGGGCCATACTAGGCACTGGAAATATAGTACTAAACAAAGCAGAATTCCTGGCAACATTTTAGGGGGAAATACAGACAAAAAGAGCAAGTAACTGGGCCCCTCAGAGGAAAGTGTGGGTCTCAGACATATATCTCTCTACTGTATGAAGTGTATGGCTGTTAGCATAACTGAAGCCATCTTGGGCCGTTAACAGTCTCTCCTATTCTTCTGCTGACCCTGCCAGGGACTGTAATGTAAAGTGAATCACTTCTCTGTCATCGAGGGCTTTGTAGTTAATACATATTGTTTAATAATCATTAGAACCAGGTGACCTCTCCTCTATGCCCTGTTAGTCCCCAAACAATGACGAAAACCTTCACTGACGTATTCCTGATGCCCACGAAACTCATTACCCGTTCGTAAGTCTTGACATAGAAAGGCACGTCCTGCTTCCATACTCTAGGTTAATATAAAATTGTCCCAATGGCCCGTCGGTGGCATGGAGTACAGCTGTGAATGCTTCTGGATTGTTGTGGACACAATCCTGATCCCATCCTGTGAGTAAGTTACCCCATAATAAACTGATCCATTGATTATATGGAGTTGCCTGCCTCACTTTTTTCAGTCTCAAGATGCCTTCTTAGTTCAGTGGGTACTATGTGTTCCCTCCATCCTCTGACATGGAGATATATAAAGAATACCTGCAACTCAATAATAAAGAGACAACCCGCTTTATAAAAATGGGCAAAAGATTTGAACAGTCACTTCACAAAGGAAGATGCACAAATGGCCCATAAGCACATGAGGAAGGGCTCAATGTCACTAGACATGAGAGAAATGCAAATTAAAACCAAAATGAGACACTACTAATAACATCTAAAGTCAGCAAGGATGGACTCTCATATGTTTTTGTTTGTTTTTTAATTTTAATTTAATTTAATTTTTATTTATTTACTTATTTTTGGTTGCATTGGGTCTTCGTTGCTGTGTGTGGGCTTTCTCTAGTTGCGTCGAGCCGGGCCTACTCTTCATTGCTGTGTGTGGGTTTCTCACTGTGGTGGCTTCCCTTGTTGCAAAGCACAGGCTCTAGGTGCGCGGGCTTCAGTTGCTGCAGCACGCCAGCTCAGTAGTTGTGGCTCACGGGATCTAGAGCGCAGGCCCAGTAGTTGTGGCACACTGGCTTAGTTGCTCCGTGGCATGTGGGATCTTCCCGGACCAGGGCTAGAACCCATGTCCCCTGCATTGGCAGGTGGATTCTTAACCACTGCGCCACCAGGGAAGCCCATGTGCTCTCATATGTTGATAGTGGAGGTGTAAAGTGGTCCAACCATCTCAGAAAAAAACCTGACGGTTTCTTATAAAGCTGAACATTTACCTCCCTTAGGACTCAGCAATTGCATTCATAGACATTAACTCAAGAGAAATAAAAACTTATACCCACAAAAGGACTCGTACAAGAATATGATTAGCAACTTTTTTGGACAAAAACTGTAAATAACCAAGGGTCCATCAAATAGGAAAATAGATAACAACAACAACAACAAAACAAAACGCCCAGATTTTATAGAATACTCTTCTAATGGAATACTAATCAGCAATAAAAAGGAATGAGCTACTGATATATGCAACGAGGATGATAATAAATGAAAACATTTTGCTGAGTCAAAGAAGTCTTACCCAAAAAAACTATATGTGATTCCATTTATATGACATCCCCCATCAGGGAAAACTAATTTGCAAAGTCAGAACAGCAGTTGCCTCTGGGTGATGGCAATGCTGTACGTCCTGATAATGGTTTGAGGTACATAGGTGTTTGCATTTGCCGGAACTCACGGAATGTACACTTAGGATGGGTATTTCATTACATGTAAATTTTACCACATGCAAAAAAAGAACCATTAAAAAAAAAAAACTAAGCAAATACGAAAATACCTAATAAGATTCAGATGGTGGGGGACTTCCCTGGTGGCGCAGTGGTTAAGAATCTACCTGCCATGCAGGGGACATGAGTTCAATCCCTGGTCTGGTAAGATCCCCCATGCCGCGGAGCAACTAAGCCCGTGCCCCACAACTACTAAGCCTGCGCTCTAGAGCCCACGAGCCGCAACTAATGAGCTCATGTGCCACAACTACTGAAGCCCGCGAGCCTAGAGCCTGTGCTCCGCAACAAGAGAAGCCACTGAAATGAGAAGCCCCCCACCCCCAGTAACTAGGGAAAGCCTGCGAGCAGCAACAAAGACCCAATGCAGCCAAAAAAAAAAAGAAAAGAAAAGAAAAGAAAAAAGATTCAGATGGTGGAACGATATTGTTCAGCACAGCTGAGTTTGTGGAAAAGGGCTCGGATCCCATCACAGCATGTTTGACTTAAGGGGCTGCTGCCCACCTGTGCACGTGAATGCCCACCGGTGCTTAATTTGTCCACAGAGATGGGGTTTTTTCCTCTCTTTTGACTGTTCGTTCTCCCTAGAGGCTGAGATCCAGAATAAACTCCAGGCTTTGCTAGTCTTCTGTGGAAACTTTGTTATGATCTTGTTAATTGCCTCCCCAACAAGCACTTGGTTTTCCAAAAACATCAGAGACCACAGGAAGGAACTACTCTCTTACAGTATGTAATAGTTAATCTCTGAACTTTTGGTTTTTATTAACTGCATCTTAATCATGGGTGTTTGTCCAGATTTTCTATCACTCCAACAATGTTTTAAACAAACAAAATCTTTTCAGATGGCCAGGTACTGGGGCTTTTTTGTTTGTTTCGGGAAGATATTTTGCCACTTATTTATCTCAAATTTACCCTTGATATTCTCCAAAAGGCAAACAAATAAAATAGAAGCAGATGTTTTGAAGGATATTTGAACTGCAAAGGGGTGAGGCAGCCGAAAACTTTTCTTTTCCTTGTTGAAACCCTTCCTTCCTTCTTAAGAGTATATGGTGTTCTAAGCTTCGGAAAGAAAGTGGCTGTCAGAAAAAGGATTCTCTCTATGGAAAGCAAAGCACATGTTAAAGAACAAATACCTCCCTGTGAGTAGAAAAGGAGCACACAGACGTCCTCGGCACCTTGTCTAACACTGACACTTAACCGGAAGTGGCCCAGAAACCACAAAGT